GTGAATCGTGATGGATGGCGGCGGAAAGGCTGCCTCGAATTTCGACAGAGATTCATCGTGTCCCAGCCACCTCGAACGTGATGCAATTCGAATTTTCGAAAGAATCGACCGTAAAATACCTTGTTAAAATGTATCACGCTCGATCGAGCTTTGATAGCGTTTCAAATATATTCGTGTCTTGCCGTAGACAGAATTGTATACGTGAAATGGTTCAACTTGCGGTTCCGCTAGGTGGATTTAAACGGACGTTTATTTTTCCCCGAGTGGATTTCTGAGGTTTCCTCGTAATTTTCGGTTACACCGGGATTTAGTACTCCGCGGACGAAATTGTTGAGGGAGATTGCTACGTAATTTCGATACGTAAAATTCATGCAAGAATTAATATCGATTTAAAGGAAGTTTGATCATTTATTGCGAGTTTATAAGAAAGAGTATTATTTTTGTTTGAGTATCGAGTATTCATTTGTTCTTTAACATATTTATAGCATAACTTAGACAAAAAAAGGTAAACGAATTTAATTAACCTGAAAATACAGGTTAATTAAAGATTAGAGAATAATAATTTTGAAAAATAAATAAGAAAAAAATAGAATGGAATTAAATAATTGTTTACTAATTTGTGTATAACTGCACTGATTATATTTCATTCGGTTTTGGTTCGATTTCGTTAATCCTGCTTTCTTCGTACTATCATTCGACAAGTAAACACTTTCATTTCGTGTTCGCGGAAGCAAACGACACTTTCACCCCTTTAATCAAGTTAGAATCCTTGATCGAATCCTTTTTTTCAGTAGTTGAGAAGTTGGCTCGAAAGCAGAAGGGACAAGCTACACGGATGCAGCAGATGTAGAAGTGAAACTCCTGCAAGTTCTGTGAAAAGTGTGATTTGTTTTTTTACCATGAATTATCTCGACACGAATCTGAAATTCAATGGATTTGAAGTTAACTCGACACTATTAAAACTTTTCATTTCATTTTTGACGATGTGTTACGTGTCTACATTGAAACTAGAAATATAGATTGTTATTGTTTAAATAAATAAATTACAAAATGTACCATTTTGAGGTTTCTAAAAGTAGGTGAAAGTTTGGGAATTTTTTTCATAGACAGCTATTATACAGGATACGAATGTAACTTTCAGCATTTTCCTTGAAATTTGAAAAGAGTCAAAATGCTGCAAAGTATAAGGTGAAATCAAACAAAACAGTTTGCTTTATATTTAAATAAATTCTTACCAAACCGAAGATTATCTTTTTAATTATCTTTTTCTGTGTCCTTGGCACTGAATATTTCCTCACACTATGCTGTTGGCGACTTTTGGCACACTTTCACCTTAATTCAACAACAGTTTAAAATTTTTTTTAAACTTTAAAACGCCATAACAAATATTTTGCGGCTGTGATTGAACATCTACCATCTGCCACGTGCATTACGTACCAAGAAAGGATTAATATAACGTCACGGTACTTTCCTTTCTTTCTAATTAAATTCTACATTTGAACGAAATTATTTTAATTCATAAATGAGTTTACCAACGCATATACAGGATGAACAATGACTGTTTAACATCGTGTAATTGTCTGACAATGTGACAGACGACGTGTAGAAATTATGTGTTAGGTCAAACCCATCACTTATTGTTCACTACTCTACCGTTGTTCCATTCTATCGCTACTTTCCGCAACCCTCGCGATTCATTCCGTCTAAACAAGGATAATCCAAATTCTTTGCACACGGTACGACTCCTCCGTCCTTCCAGGACATCCCTTCCCTGCTCCTTAACTTTCCGTTGCACACGACACCACCTAATCAGTAGGTGATATAAAAACCCCACTGTCGCGGCCGGCTCGCGTCAATTCGTCAGTGCATCAGTTCGTTAGTGATACTTAAGTTAAACATGGAAATTAATTATATCAGATTCTCCAATGATGGAAATTCAAATAACATTAGAATTACAGATGTACCAAAGGTGATAGTCAAAAGTCTCAACAAGAAATTGACAAAAAAAAAAAAAAAGCAAAAAAGATGGAAATTAGTTAATATCAGATTTTACTAGTATGAAAATTCAAATAACATTAGAATTATGAGTATAACAAAGATGATGCTGACGTACGGTTGGAATTCGATAGAGAAGACAGTAGAATGGTGGAATAGAAGACAAGTAATTTCAGACATCTGGGGTTTGATGCAGACACGTCTGAGCGTTGTGGAATAAAACACGATTGCTCTTCGGTAGTGTGATTCGATATGGAATATTCAATACTTATGCAGGACAGAGAAAGGTAACAGAAGCTTTCAAAGACACGATATAGAAAACTGTATATACATGCATGGTATATGATACAACAGGCTTTTGACTCGCGTGATTACGTACAATTACCCGCTAAATTAATAATGGTTAACGTATCCACGATGTCTTCGCTCGAAAACGAATAAAAAAATATCGAAAATAAGCGAAAACGGATAAAAAATATCTTCAATCGTACGACTGTGATATCCTTCGATACAGTAAAATCTTACATACGTAGATCACGTGCAAATTTAGGGAATTTCGAGAGTTTGCTTGCATAAGAACCTTAAATACGCGCTGTTCGAATCATTATCCACGAATATGGATTCGCCGAGCTACTAAATCCATCT